GCTCAACATCACAGATCATCAGGAAAATGCAAATCAAAACCACAATGAGATATCACCTCACACTTGTCAGAAGGGCTAAAATCAAAAAGACAGGAAACAACAAGTGCTGGTGAGGATGTGGAGGAAAAGGAACCTTCGTGCACTATTGGTGGGACTGCAAACTGGTGCAGCCACTGAGGAAAACAGTATGGAGATTGCTCAAAAAATTAAAAAATACAACCACTCTATAAGCCAGTAATTCCACTAGTGGTTATTTACTCAAAGAATAAGAAAACACTAATTTGAAAAGATATACGCACCCCTATGTTTATTGCAGCATTATTTACAATAGTCAAATTATGGAAGCAGCCCAAGTATTCACTGATAGATGAATGGATAAAGAAGATGTGGTGTACATGTATAAGATGGAATATTGGTGTACATGTATAAGATGGACTATTACTCAGCACCAAAAATAATGAAATCTTGCAATTGCCAACAATATGGATGGATCTAGAGAGTATAATGCTAAATGAAATAAGAGAAAAAGAAATAGCATATAATTTCACTCATATGTGGAATTTAAGAAACAAAACAAACGAACAGAGAAAAAAAGAGATAACCCAAAAAATAGACCTTTAACCCTAGAGAATAAATTGATGATTACCAGAGGGGAGGTGGGCAGGGGGAAGGGTAAAACAGGTGAAGCAGATTAAAAGTATACTTATCATGATGAGCACTGAGTAATGTATAGAATTGTTGAACCACTATACTGTATGCCTAAAACTAATATAATACTGTATGCTAACCATAATGGAATTGTGATTGTAAAGTCTCAGCATTTTATTTTTAATTTTTTAAAGTTTTAAAAAATGAGTTTTTCTCAAATGATGAAATTATTTGGTCTGTAATAAGAAACTTGTAATTATCTACAAGGATAGTGATGTGATTTTTTTTTTAAAAAAGAAAAAATGAGAGGGGCGCCTGGTTGGCTCAGTCAGTAGAGCATGTGACTCTTGATCTCAGGGCTGTGAGTTCAAGCCCACTGGGCATGGAGCTTACTTAAAAAAATAAATAAATAAAAAGGAAAAAATGAGAAGTTATTTAGTATAAAGAGTTCTTGGTAGGTGTTCGTATTTTATTTCCACTGTAGTTATTTTTTGAAAGGGAAGGAAAAAGAGACATGGATTTAAAATTCATGTAGCTGTTTCTGAACTTGGTGATTATTCTTGCAAATGAAGTTTAATTATTTTCAATATCTATTATTTTTCACGTTGGGACATTATCTGATTATTTTTTAGAAACACACTATCACAACTCTACTTTTTAGCCAAGTAGCAGAATTCATTTCTGTACACCAGTATAGACATTGCTAAAATTTGTGGAGAGATTTGCTTAAAGTGGTTGTAAAACAGAGATTAAAAAATCAAATTTGTTATATCTTGGGCCCACAGGAATAAATTAAGAAAGAGAGACCCATATATCTCTTAATAGAAAGAATGAGGCCATTATTAAGGTAATACAGCATTCTATACTAATTACCATGAAAGTTAAAATTTTCAATCTTGTGGGAAAATTAAATTATACAAAAACCAATAGACAAAAAGAAATTTAAACCAATATTGTCATATCTAAAACAAGGCATGTGAAGTATAGATATCAAATTTAGTTAGTTGAAATAACTTCAATTTTTATTCATATAAATAAAAATACCTTTTTAAAATGATAAAAATAACATTTAGCTGTGACTACCTGTATAAAATGTTGGCTATCTTATACAAAAGCTCTAACAGTCATTATTAAGATTAAAGATGATGACTAAAATTTGCAATTTAGATTAACTATGTTTACCGCTCTTATAAATACAACTCAGATCTAATAACTTCTGATAAATTCTCATGAACTAAAAATAACTTTAAAGCTCTATAGGACTTATACTACTATATATCAAGATTTATTATGAGGCTGTAATAATTAAGACATTATGGCATATGATGCATGGATACAAAAACTAGTTACATAGATTATAAAGTTCAGAAACAGATATATGCATATATAGTTATCTGATTTTACAACAAAGGTGATCCTGCAGTGCAGTGGGGAAAAAGTGGTCTTCTCAATAAATGATGCTGGATTAAATGGACATTCACATGTAAAAAAATAATTGACAAAAAGCTTATGATTTCACTTCTATGTGGAACCAAAAAACAACAACAACAACAACAATGAATAAAAAAAGCAGAAAGAGACCTATAAATACAGAGAACAAACTGGTGGTCGCCAGAGGGGACAGTGGTGGGGGAATGGGCAAAAAAGGGGGTGAAGGGGAGTGGGAGGTACAGGCTTCCAGTTATGAAATAAATAAGTCACAGGGATAAAAGGTATGGATAGGGAATACTGTCAATGGTAGTGTAATAGTGCTGTGTAGTGACAAATGGTAGCTACACATGGGATTAGCACAGCATGTACAGTGTTGTCATATCACTATGTTGTGTACCAGAAACTAACATAACATGGTGTCAACTATACTTCAATTAAAAAAAAAAAACTTCACTCCTATCTCACACCATATACGAAAATCAACTCTAGTTGATAGAGACCACCAAATGGAAAAGATCAAACAATAAAGCTTTGGGAAGAAAGCATAGGAGAATCTCTTTATGACCTGGCTTGAGATAGGCAAAGATTTCTTAAGACTCAGAAGTACCAACCATAAATGAAAAAACAGACAAACTGGATCACATTAAAATTAAGAACTTCTTACCAAAAGACAACATTACCAAAACAAAAAGCAAGCCATTAAGTAGAAGATTCTTATAAAACACATATCCAACAAAGAATACATATTCAGAACATACGAAGAATTTCTTCAAATCAATAATAAAAAGGCAGATAACCCCTTGGAAAAATGGGAAAAAGACTTGAACAGACACTTCATAAAAGAGAATATCCAAACGGCCATTTAAAAACTGAAAAGGTGCTAGTACTTCATTAGTTACCAAAGCAATATAAATTAAAATCACAATGCAATACCATTATACAACTACCAGAAAGGCTAAAATTAAAGATGTAGAGTACCAAGTATTGGTGAGGACGTCAAGCAACTGGAGCCAGACACTGCTGCTGGAAGTGTAAATTAGTCTAACCACTTTGGAAAACTGGTTAGCAGTATCATATATTACTTTTTTGATAAATACAGTGAAGTACTATAAATGTCTTTTCTCTTCCTTATGATTTTAATAACATTCTCTTTTTTCCAGCTTACTTTATTGTAAGACTATAATATAATACATATAACATACAAAATATGTGTTAATGTACTTTTTATGTTATCAGTAAAGCTTTTCATAACAGCTGGCTATCAGTAGTTAAGTTTCTGGGTAGCCAAAAGTTACACATGAATTTTTTTTTTTTAATAGAGAGAGAGAGATCAAGCAGTGGGGAGGGGCAGAGGGAGAGGGAGAGAGAGAATCTTAAGCAGGCTCCATGCCCAGCGTGGAGCCTGACATGGGGCTCTATCCCAGGAGCCTGAGATCATGACTTGAGCCAACATCAGTAGTTGGATGCTTAACCATTTGAGCCACCCAGGAGCCCCTATACATGAATTTTCTAATGTGCAGGAGGTCAGCAACCCTAGCCCTTGCACAGTTCAAGGGTCAACTGTATATATATATATGTTTGTATATATACGTATACACATATGTACACAGATGTGTACATATGTGTATATTTTATTTTTCATATATGTATAAATTTTAATCTAAAAGGCACATTCAATAATGTTCAAAGAATCAACATTCATTATAGTCCAGAACTAGGAGCAACCCAAATGAACAGGAAGGATGAATTGTGGTATATTCAAAGAATAGTCATAGAAATGTTGCTATACACAACAATACAGATGAATCTCACAAATACAATGTTGAAAGAAACTAGACAAAACAGTAATCCTATATGATTCCATTTATATGAAGTTCAAACGTTTTATTATATTAACTTAAAAATCTATAATATTAATAGGATAGTGGTTAGCTTGTTGGAAGGGGGTATCTGGAAAAGACATGATGACATGAGGGGTTTTGGAGATATTGGTAATATTATTAAATAGCTTACTGTAGATGTTGGTTACATGGATATTTCACTTTGTGAAAATTCACTGGCTGTATAGTTATAAATAGTGCACTTTTCTGTTTGTATGTTATACTTTGATAGTTCACTTTAAGAAAAAAAGAAGCCTTTCAAAAATTTGAATATCATCTTTTTTGTTATTGTTGTTGTCCCCAAAGATACTTCAGGCAATGAAAACAAAATATAATGTGATATGAAAATTCTGCTGAGGGGCGCATGGGTGGCTCAGTCATTAAGTGTCTGCTTCAGCTCAGGTCATGATCCCAGAGTCCTGGGATGGAGCCCAGCATCAGGCTCCCTGCTCTGCAGGAAGCCTGCTTCTCCCTCTCCCACTTCCCCTGCTTGTGTTCCCTCTCTCGCTGTGTCTTTCTCTGTCAAATAAATAAATAAAATCTTAAAAAAAAAAAAAGAAAATTCTGCTGAAGTCCTACAAGGAGTCTGGAGGTATAATGGAGGATCCTCAACTATATTTCCATTTCCTATAATCATTTTTAAAATAACTTTAATCATAGAATAAAAGGTAAAGAACAGTTAATAAGTGATAAGTAGGTGATAAATGATAACAGTTTAAGTAGGTGATAAATGATAACATAATAAGAACCCCAAATAAATACGATGAAAAACTGGTCATATTGTCTTTTAACTACAGTTCTATAATTTAACCAGTGGTTAAGATTAAGAAGAAAAAATAAATTTAAAAAAGAAAAAGAAAAAAATCTAGTAAAACAAAGTTTTATAATCTAGCATTAAAAATGGTAGCCTTACAAATGTATAAAGATATACCACATTGTCTAGCAAAATCAAGCTGTTTTACTAATCAGCATTAGAAATGCTGCAATTGCTCAATATTTTAAAATACAATGAAGTCAGAAAATATTTTTAATTTTACTTACTCAGTGTATTGTGGTCTGTGTGAATACCTTGTATAACAGATGTTCTGAGTAACAATTCAACATCGGAACCTATTTTTATTAGCTGTTAAGAAAACCAAACAGAATAAATCCTTTAGATATTTTTTCAATGGTCCTTATGAATGCACTGTTTTTGAAAAATGTAAATTTACTGTTATTTCTTTTGGGGTAATACTGCCTTTAACTTTTTCTAACCATTCCAAGCATACAGAAACTCAGACATATGTGTACTTTTATCCATCCGTTCCATATTTTGTTCCAAAATAGATTCAGAGTGTTTTTTGTTGGAATATATATTTAATATGTTCAAAATGCTGTTTTCTTTGGGAGAGGGTTGAATCTTTCTTTTATAGAGTTGGATGTTCTAAACACTAGAAATGATACTGAACTAGGAGTCGGAATACTTGGATTCCATAGCTCTATCATTAAGTATTAGGCCTTTAAGTTCTCTTTAAGTTTCAGAACTTGTCATATGCAAAATGAAGAAGTGGACTAGAACAAAGATTCTCAAAGCTGTGGACCCCTGAGGGATCTTGAGACCCTTTCAGATACCATGAAGTCAAAAGGATTCTCATAATACTAAAGCTTTCTGCACTGAGTTGTGAGCAGAAGTAGAGCTTTCTCCATGGAATACCATTTTATATGAATGAGCAACAGACAAACTATGATCAGACTTGGGTATCTGGCAAACATTTTCTTGAAAATGAATGAGCTGACTCTGTTATTTATTTCAAGAAAACAACTAACTGTATTTGCTGACAATGGTAAAATTCAAGTTTTCAAGAAAAAATTAGAATTCTAGGGAAACTATCTGCCACCATGAGCTTGATAGTTTTTCAATGCTTATGGATTTTTCTGATGAGATAGATATTAATATTAATAAATATAATTTTAAAATATTACATACTGAATTATGTTAACATTTGGGAGATATGCATTACTTGGTGAACCTGTATTCTCCAAATCAATGGTGCAAGATGTTACAAAATCATGCATGGTAAAAGATCCATTCAAAGAGAAAGACAGATTAAATCTATTGGTCTACTAATGAAGACTTAAGAGCATGTGGAGAAGAATATCCTAGAAATAAGCAACAGCATAAATGCCCTGAGACAGGAAAGTTCTTGGTAAATTCAAGTGCCCTCAATACACTGAGACTGTAAGAGTAAGAGGGATGGAGGGGGCTAAGGTGGGTAGTTAATAGAGGTCAAATGATATAGTCTTTTTTTTTTTTTTAAGATTTTATTTATTTATTTGACAGAGAGAGACAGCTAGAGAAGGAACACAGCAGGTGGAGTGGGAGAGGGAGAAGCAGGCTCCCGGCTGAGCAGGGAACCTGATGCGGGGCTCAATCCCAGGACCCTGGGATCATGACCTGAGCCGAAGGCAGATGCTTAACGACTGAGCCATCCAGGTGCCCCTGGATGATATGGTCTTGTAGGTCATGGTAAGCACCTTAGATTTTACTTTGGGATGAGAAGCTATGGGGGTTGTGAGTACAAGAGTGATGGGATATGCCTTTTTATTTAAAAGGCTCAATCTGCCTTTAAAAGTACTGAGAATAGGCTCCAGGGAGTTAGGGAGGAAGCAGGGAGACCCACTAGGAGCCTGTTGTAACAATCCAGTGAAAGAGGATAGTGGCTTGAACTAGGAGATAATGATGGGGAGGATGAGAAGTGGTCGAATTCTGGATATATTTTGAAGTCAAGAAAATTGGCTGACAGGCTGGATATAAGTGTGAGAGAAAGACGGCAATCAAGAAAGAGAACATCAAGTTTTTTGGTCTGAGCATTAAAAGGTGGGAGCTGCCATTAACTAACATGGAGAAGGTGTGGAAGAGCAAAGCCTCAACTCCCAACAGATCTGAGAAGGGACTTAGCAGGAGAGAGAAAGAATAAAAACGGGCCTCCTCATCCACTGGAGGTGCATGAACTGAGTCTACTCATAGGTCTAAGGCAGGAAACAAGGCTTGTTGAGGAATAAGGGATAAAGGGAAATCAGAAAGGATGAGCAGGAGGTGGTCTGTATGAATCCTGGAGCAAAAAAAAAAAAAATCTATCTATCTGCTTACCTACCTATCTACCTCTCTCCACCCATTGGTCTAACAGGTAACAGAGTTCCACAATGCAACTAACCTTTAAGGAAGTTTACGATTTGTTGAGGTGTAGTATCAAAGAATATTCACAATTTATTTGAAAAGTCTATTTATACTCCTAACTCTTTTCCAACTTCATCTGTGTGAGGCTGAATTTTCTTCATATATTTCAACCTAAAAACATTGCACCAGATTGAATGAGGAAGCAGATATGAGAATTGAGCTGCCTTCTATTAAGCCAGACTTTAAAGATTTTATTTATTATTATTTGAGAGAGAGAGTGAGAGAGAGAGAAAAAAAGAGAGAAAACATGAGCAGGGGGAGTGGTAGAGGGAGAAGCACATTCCCCACTGAGCAGCACGGAGCCCGATGCGGGGCTCAATCCCAGGCTTCCAGGATCATGACCCGAGCCAAAGGCAGATGTTTGTTTGTTTGTTTGTTTTTAAAGATTTTATTTATTATTGAATTATTATTATTTGAGAGAGAGAGAGACAGAGAGACAGAGAGAGAGTTAAGCCAGACTTTAAAGAGATTTGCAAAATGGTAAAACAGTGTCCACTCTTCTCACTAAATGTTTTGAAAATATAGTTATTTTCCATAAACAGTATGTTTGTTACCACATAATGAGCTTATTATTTTTAGATAAAAAATACGTATTTTAAAAATCTCTCAGTTTTAATTTCTACTAAGATAAATATTGAAAGGCATACCACATGAAACGTACTTTTTGGGGTCCTCAACTTTTAAGAAGGTAAAAGGGTCTTGTGACCAAACAGTTTAAGAACTGCTGGTATAAAAGATACCTAAGATTCTTTGCGGTGCCAAGACTTCATGAACCTTCCAATACATAACAACAACAATGTAATTTACTAAACACTACTAAATATTTAATCTATGCAGAATTATATAAAATACACATTTGTATGTAACAAATAAGTCATTTCTAGACTGCTTTATGTTAAATTAGTGCTTTACAAATAAAAGGAATTTACAGTTGATATAAAGACATGTCAATTTAAAAATTTTTTATCATGATTTCAAAATTTAAAAATAATTACCATATTGTTATTAATCAGCCTACTGAATAGCAAATACAAACTTTTGTATACATCTTTTAACTTCAAGTTATGACTTGATTATGATGTCATCTTAACTTCTGCCATGAATAAAAATTACACAGTCCCTGTTTGCCCTATCAGATGGTTAAATGAAATCTTTCCCTTTCTACTTTATACGGGAGGGATAGAAACACTTAGGCTATCTCATTTTGACTCATTAACTTGATTATTACAGATATTTACTATTCTAAAAACAGCATTTTTCTCTACCAAAAAGAAATGCATTTTTTTCTAAAAAAATTTAACATGTAGAAATTTTATTAAACATGGAAGATTCTAATTTGTACCTTCCTCTTTATCAAACCAATTCTTGGAATTATGATTGCCCCTGCAAATAATTTTCCATTTTTTGTTTTCCTCCTAAGGGTACTTTCCCTACATTTATACAAAGTATAAGTAAAGTGTACAGAAACACTTAGGAAGCTCAAAATAGAGACAATATGCATGTATATGCAGTATGATTTTATACAAAAAAGGAATCATTGTGCATTTTTTTAAATGAACATGTACTGGGCGTAGTAAGAAGCTCACCAATCAGTGTCAGTAGACTGACTGTCTTCAACTAGAGCAAGTGACCAAAAGGCAAAGCAAGAATAGTTCATGAATTGTGGCTGATTAACTCTCACTGCCTAGTTAGGAATTAAAAAAAAGTCTGTCTAGCTGAGCTAAATGAACATTAATTCCTTCTGTAGTTCTAATACTCATGCTCCTTAGTTTTAGTCACTTGCCTTAAGTAAAGATAGAATTTCTGTGGGTTTCTGGGTTGGTTGAGCTGCTCTTGATTTGACCATAGCTACATCCATGTTTTGTACCTGGTAACTTGCTGTCTTAAGGGTGTAGCAGATGACCCTAAAGAGGTGAGCCATACCAAACAAGTGAAGGTTATCTATAGTTGTGATATAACTACCAAGTAATAATCTTTATTTCATATAACCCCTTTATTTTCATCATTTTCTAAGAAAATTTATAAGGGCTTTATCATAATTGAAAGACTCAATTACTATACCTCTTCTATTTTCTTGGGAGAAGTTTCACTTTTATTACTTTTGAATTCTTCATTTATCTTTATTCTGGCTGCTAGAGAAAGAAAAAAAATATATAATTATTTCTCTTCTAATTTATAATTCCTGTCCCAAGAATTTATACCTTATTCATTATAACTACTTCTCTAGTAGTTGAAACAGTTTTGCCCCATGTGAAACTAATTATAAAAATAAGACTTTTTAAAAAAAAAACTGTCCTAGAAATCTTTGGACAGGCTGGCAAATTTTTAATTAAACCTAATATACTCTAATATACAAATACTTTCGTTTCCTGCTTTTTACTTCCAATTTCATTTATATACCTCTAGCTATCAGATTCTAATGAATCCCATTTAATAATTTCTTTCCATGAATCTAAAAAATTAAAATGCTTTAAGATGGCAAAACTCAATACATACAAACACGTTAAACCACACACACACACACACACACACACACACACACAAATAAAATAAAGACATAGCACCAAAATATATATAAAAGTGGTTTGGCTGGCATGTAAAGTGAGTGATAAATACACCTTTGTTCATGTAAACCACTGATACTTTGGCATCATTATAGCATAATTTAGTCTAATCTGACAAGTGCCTTATTGTTGCTGTGAGCATTTAATGAAACAACCCATGTAAAGTGCTTAGTAATTATGCAATGTTAGCTGTTCTTATGTCACTTAATAACACTTGAAGTGCTGTTGATAGAGAATAGCCAGAAAACCCTCCTTCTATGCTTTATATATTTCAATATTAGGTGCTGAAAATTTGGGATTTGGAGCCAAACTGCTTAGGTCAATCCTAGCTCTACCTCTCACTAGTATGATGTGAGACAAATCCTTTCACATTTTGTCAGTTTTCTCATTGGAAAAAAATTATAATAGTAACTACCCCACAGGGATATATGAAGAACTAAATGAATTTGGTAAAACATATACAATATGAAGCATATATTTTAATATTCAAGAAATTGTTCTTGGTGAATTACAAAAAAACTTGAATTCCTAGGGACAGTGGGGATACTACCTAGGTGCCCTCTTAAAGAGTTTTAGAAATATATGAAGATAGATGGGGCGCCTGGGTGGCTCGGTTGGTTAAGCATCTACCTTCAGCTCAAGTCATGATCACAAGGTTCCTGGATCGAACCCCGCATTGAGCTCCCTGCTCAGCAGGGAGCCTGTTTCTCCCTCCCCCTCTGCCTCTCCTCCTAGCTTGTGCTCTCTCTCTCAAATAAATAAAATCTTAAAAAAAAAAAAAAAGAAAACGAAATATATGAAGATAGATACTGCACATGACCAATACATAACCTAAGCTTTAGAACTCCGACTTTTAGATATGATAAAAGCCACTTAAAACAGTGAAATACTAAATTTGTAAACATTTGGGATAGATTCTTTTTCACAGCTGCTATCATTTCTGGAATGACACAAGGAATTAATAATATGGAAGTATCTGGTCCTAGAGAGTGTGAAAATGTGATTATATAATAGAAATAAGTTTAACGGCTTGACAAGCAATGGAGCATGCTAAAATTCTGATCTTTTCTGATTCTTTATAAAAACTAGATCTTTAAAAATTTTAAGTAGATACTCCTCAAAGCAGTGTAATGTAAACTAATCTTCATAAAACATAACAAAATTAGGGGAGAGATATGAAGATCACTCTCTAAGATGGGTCTTGACCATGCAAATTCTCTTGGATATATTAGAAGCCATGTGAAGAACTTACTCCAACATGACGAAAAATAAACCTACCTTCTAATGCTCTGGTATCATTTTTAAAAACCCGTTGTCTGGTCCTGTGTAATGTTTTAAAGAGCTGTAAAACCTATAAAAAAAAATTAGAATTCAGACCTCAAAAGAAAAAAATTTTACATTTTATATAATTACAAGGATTACAAGGTATTTCTTTTCTCTTTAGTTACTTGGACTATTTTTCAAAATAGCCAGTAAAACCAGGGTTTGCCAAAACAATTTTCCCTTCGTTATTTATCTTTAAATTAAAAAAGAATTAGATTTACAAAAATAATACCAAGTTCTTTGGGAAAAAAAAACAAGGATGGTTAAAAAGTTAATAATCCCCCTGCCAAAACCAGTCTGCTAAAGTAACTTTGTCAGTCTGGTATGTATTTGTTCTCACTTTTCTTAACATATGGAGGCCTTCATCTGCTCTAAAAGTTTTACACACATATACACAAACTCATGAACTTATTACATCTTAAGAGAGCCCAGAAGGAAGATGTTTCAGATAATTTAGGAAAGTGTAATTGTGATTTCCCAAAGAGAAGTGGAATGTTGAGACTTATGAATATTCTAACACTATGTTAAAAAAATAGAAGAGCCTGACATTTTGGTAGAAGACAGATTGTGTAGAGGCTTTAGTGTTAGGCCAAGCCTACTTCACCCTTCTCAAGTTTAAAAACGTACTCAATATTGTTCCCCCGATATTGTTTTTTCTCCTGTCTTTTCAATTTTAGAGAATAGAAGACACTGAGTTTCTCAAGCTGGAAATCTCTACACAATTCTTTAAATCTCTATTACTCTTCATGTGGAAATTTTAGGACTGTCTCTCTAATGTTTTCGATATTCTCCATTCCTGAAAATTATTTAAGTTCAGACCCTCCCATCTCTTGCATAGACTACTTAACACAGATTTGTCACTCTGCCACTATTCCCTCCAATCCATTCACTAGATAAAATATCTAATATTTATTTACTAAGTATACCCTGTGCTAGGCATTGTTTTAGGTATTTACATATATTAGAAAACCTATAACATCAAAGGCAGACACCAAAAGAAAAACAGGAAACACGAAGCAAAAAACATAAAACACAACAAACAAAAACCAAACAACCAAAATGAACTTCCTCAGAAAAGTACGTGACTGCAGAGATGGAATAACAACAAAAAGAAGCCATAGTAAATTGAAAAAGGAACATTCAGAAAACGCCCCAAAGCTCTCAGATATCAAATGAAGGATAGCAAATATTAAGGGTAGAAAAACAGCCAAGAAATAGAATAAAAACTCAGAAATTGAGGCAAGAAAACAAAATTAAGGGAGTAGTCCAGATGGACCAACAATTACATTAACTGGATTTCCAACAAGAAAGAACAGAGGGGTGCCTGGGTGGGTTAGCTGGTTAAGTGTCCGAGTATTGATTTTAGCTTAGGTCATGATCTCAGGGTCCTGGGATGGAACCCAGCGTCGGGCTCTGCACTCAGCGTGGAGTCTGCTTAAGATTCTCTCTCTCTCAAATAAATAAACAAATCTTAAAAAAAAAAAAAAGGACAGAGAAAACAGACAAAAGAAATTAAAAAGGGAAAAATTAAGAAAATGTTACCAAGTAAGGTGCATCGGTTACTTGATTGAAAAAGTTCCAAGTGCCCAACACAAAACCCATACCATAGTACATCATGATACAGGTTCAGTACGATGCTCATAAAAAGAAACACCTTGAAAATAAAAAACAGTTCACATAGAAAGGACAGAAAATCAGAATGACACCTGACTTCTAAATAGCATCACTGTGAGAAGACAATGGTATAAGATCTTCAAGTTAAAAAAAAAAAAAATGCCCAGGGCAACCCTCTTGGGCCCCCTCCCTCTTTGGGAGCTTTGTACTATCACTACTATCACTCAATAAACTATGCGTTGCTGCCCACCAAAAAAGAAAAAAAAAAAAAAAAAGATGTCCAGCTTAGAATACCATACATAGCCAAATTACCATTTAACTGCAAAGGCAAAGAGACATTTTTGAAAATACGAAGTCTCTTATCTGCCATACATCCTTTCTTGTAAAGCTATAGAAGAATGTACTCCACAACAAGGGGATGAACTACAAAAGAAAAAACATGGGAACCAGTGAGGCAGGTGATCCAACACAGAGAAGATGGTGAAGGACAAATACAGGTCACCATTTGTGCAGCCAGTCTACAAAGCAAAGTCCAGACTACAGCAAAAGGTTGAACTGATCCAGAAAAGATGTTCCCAGGAAAAAATCAAACTGATACTGATTTTGGGAACAGATAAGTAGGAAACTAACCAATGATAATAAAAACAAGGTTATTATTTTCAAGAAAAACAGAATTAGAAAAGAAAGGCAATGTAAGAGGACTCAGCTGTGGACAATTTTATACAATCAGAGTACTTAAAAAAATGAAAACTAATTCACCAAAATTTGTAAATGAGAGGACTAAGGTTTTTTTTTTTTTTTTTTTAAAGATTTTGTTTATTTATTTGACAGAGAGAGACAGAGCAAGAGAGCAAACACAAGCAGGGGGAGTAGGAGAGGGAGAAGCAGGCTTCCCGTGGAGCAGGGAGCTCGATGTGGGGCTCGATCCCAGGACCCTGGGATCACGACCTGAGCCGAAGGCAGACGCTTAACAATTGAGCCACCCAGGTGCCCCAGGACTAAGGTTTAAGAGGGGAGCTCAATCATCAAATTCTATTGTTAAAAGTCAGTAAATAGTATCTCCCAAAAGAAAAAAAAAAAACCCACAAAACACAACGAATAGCAGTTTAAGTATGTTCTTTAGAAACATGGAGGTAAATGTGAGAATAGCTAAAATGATTAAAAGCACTTATCTCTGGGGAGCAGGAATTGAGAGTATGTAGAAGGAAGTATACACCTACTGGTTTCTGTGTAACACTTTGATTTCTTAAACCTTACACATTTATCAACTTTATTAAAACTAAAAAAAAGTATTTTAGAAAGAGGAAGGGAAAGGACATTATCAAAAAAGAGATTAGACAAGCCCTGACAAGAAGAAAGTATCTGCAAACCATATATCCAGTAAGGGGCCCTTATCTGGAACATTTAAAGAACTTTTACAGCTCAACAATAAAAACACAGACAAAGGATTTCAATAGACATTTCTGTAAAGATAGACAAATGGTCATCAAGGCCATGAAAAGATGCTCAATATGATTTGGCATCTGGGAAATACAAATCTAATTCTCAGTGAAGTACACTTAAGCCCAGCAGAATGGCTGTAATGAAAAAGAAAATCAGTAATGAGTAACGAGTATTGGCAAGAATGAGGGAAAATTGGAACTCTTATACATTGTTGCTGGGAATGTAAAATGTTGCAGCTGTTTGGAAAACAGTTTGGCAGTTGCTCAAAAAGTTAAACACAGTGTTATCACCTGATCTAGCAATTCGATACTTATATACCCAAGGAAATGAAAACATATGTTTACACAAAAACTTGGACTTGAACAATCATAGCAGCATTATTCACAACAGTCAAAAAGTAGAAACAACTCAAATTTCTATCAATTCATGAACAGGTAAATAAATGTGGTATATCCATACTGTTACAGCTTAAATTGTGTTCCCCCAAAGGACATACTGAAGTCCTAATTCCTAGTACCTGTAAAATGTGACTTTATTTGGAAATAGGGTCTTTGCAGATGAATTAAGTTAAGATGAGGTCATTAAAGTGGGCTCTAATACAATATGACTGGTATCCTTAAAAGAAGCAGCAAACGCCATGTGAACACAGAGACACACACAGACTGCCATGTAAAGACGGAGGCAGAGATTAGAGTGATGCAAGAGTGAGCCAGCAAGCCAACAAGCCAATGAACATCACGGATTGATGGCCACCATCAGAAGTTAGGAAGAGGTAAAGATTCTACCCAGTTTCAGAGGAAGCATGGCTCTGCTGGCACCTTCATTTCAGACTTCTGGCCTCCAGGACTGTGGAGACAATACCTTTCTGTTGCTTTAAGCCACCTAGTTTGTGGTACTTTGTTAGAATAGCCATAGGAAACTAATACAGATGTTAGTATTGGGAAGTGGGGTACTGCTACAATGAGTACCTAAAAAATGGAAGTGGCTTTGGAACTGAGATGTGTAGAGACTGAAAGAATTTTGAGGTGTTTGACAGTAAAAGCTGAGACTGCCATGAAAAGATTGTTTGTAGAAATACAGACTTTAGGGCGCCTGGGTGGCTCAGTTGGTTAAGCAACTGCCTTCGGCTCAGGTCATGATTCTGGAGTCCCGGGATCGAGTCCCACATCGGGCTCCCTGCTCAGCGGGGGGTCTGCTTCTCCCTCTGACCCTTCCCCTCTCATGCTTTCTGTCTCCCATTCTCTCTCTCAGATAAATAAAATCTTAAAAAAAAAAAAGAAATATAGACTTTAAAGGTAATAGAATATCATAGAAACCCAAGCAGTTTAATATTACAACAGTGGTAGAAGATAAGTTGCATGGGATTAAGAGCAAAGTGGAAAGTTAAGTAAATGTAATCATTTTAGGGGCACCTGGGTGGCTCAGTCATTAAGCGTCTGGCTTTGGCTCAGGTCATGATCCCAGGGTCCTGGGATCGAGTCCCATGTCGGGCTCCCTGCTCAGTGGGAAGCCTGCTTCTCCTTCCCCCACTCCCCCTGCTTGCGTTCCCCTCTTACTGTGTCTCTGTCAAATAATAAAAAAAAAAATCTAATCATTTTACTTGTTTTTTAGGGAAAAAAGAAATTTCATTACTACAACAGCCAACCCCCCTAATTTAAGAACTAGTATACACAAAAATAAATTTAAAATGGATTAACATGAAACCATAAAACCATGACACTCCTAGAGGAGAACACAGGCAGTAACGTCTTTGACATCAGCTGTAGCAACTTCTTTCTAGATATGTCTCCTGAGGCAAGGGAAACAAAAGCAAAAATAAACAACTGGGAGTACATCACAATAAAAAGCTTTTTGCACAGCGAAGGACATAACCAATAAAACTAAAAGGCAGCCTATGGAATGGGAGAAGATATTTGCAAATGACATATCTGATAAAGGGTTAGTACCCAAAATATACAAAGAACTTATAAAACCCAACACCCAAAAAATGAATAATCCAGTTAAAAAAGGGGTGGAAGAAATGAATAGACATCTTTCCAAAGAAGACATATAGATGGCCAACAGACACATGAAAAGATGCTCAACATCACTCATCATCAGAGAAATGCAAATAAAAACTACAAGAGATACCACCTCACACCTGTCAGAATGGCTAAACTCAAAAAACAAGAAATAACAGATACTGGTGAGGATGTGGAGGAAGAGGAACCCTCTTGCACTGCTGGTGGGAATGCAAAGTGGTGCAGCCACTCTGGAAAACAGTGTGGAGGTTCCTCAAAAAGTTAAAAACAGAACTACCTTATGATCCAGCAACTGCAATACTAGGTTCCACAGAATACAAAAATATTAATTCAAAGGGTTATATGCACCCTGATGTTTACAGCAGCATTACTTACAATAGCAAAATTATGGAAACAGCCAAGTGTCCATCGACTGATGAATGGATAAAGAAGTGGCATATAAATATACAATGGAATATTACTCAGCCATAAAAAAGAATGAAATCTTGCCATTTGCAATGATGTGGATGGAGCTAGAAAATATTATGCTGGGGCGCCTGGGTGGCTCAGTTGGTTAAGTGGCTGCCTTCGGCTCAGGTCATGATCCTGGAGTCCTGGGATTGAGCCCCACATCCGGCTCCCTGCTCAGCAGAGAGCCTGCTTCTCCCTCCTCCTCCTCTGCCTGCCACTCTGCCTACTTGTGCTGTCTCTCTCTGTCAAATAAATAAATAAAATCTTTAAAAAATATATTATGCTAAGCAAAGTAGGTCAGAGAAAGACAAATACCATATGATTTCACTCATATGTGGGATTTAAGAAGCAAAACAAATGAATAAAGGGGGAAAAAAAGGGAGAGGCAAACCAAGAAAGACTCTTACCTATAGGGAACAAACTGATGGTTATCAGAGGGGGGTAATGGATTAAGTAGGTGATGGGGATTAAGGAGGGCACTTGCTGTGCTGAGAACCAGGTGTTTGTTGTATGGAAGTGTTGAATCACTGTAGTGTACACCTGAAACTAATATTACACTGTAGGTTCACTGGCATTTAAGTAAAAACTTAAAATAATAGAACCAGTATAAGAAAATGTCATCAATACTGTCTTGGAACTATAAGAGCTAATATCACCTTAGAGTTAATCAATTTTTATTAAATGCAGAAAGCTAGGTCACAGATTATCTTCTCTTCCTCATTTACTTATACTAATTGGATAATTTAGGTAATGTATACGGAAGGCGGACTCTCTACAGACAGATCAGTTGGAACAGGACATTGCCACTTATTTTAACCTTGGACAAGTTACTCAGCCTTTTTGTCTCAATTTTCTCACATAATGGGTTAATATTAAGGGTGTATGGGAAAATTTCTGAACTAGGTTTCACATTAGATAGCTATTACTTACCTATCTCTTCCAATTCTGGGTTATATGCTCTTCCTGAGTACATCCACAGCACTGGGCACTTACTACATAGTATGTGAAATCAAATGCTTACTTGCTGTGGTCCCATACTTCTTCAAAGGCTATGTATCCTTTACACTTACCGTTAGTATCGTCTATATATGGTAGGCCTCCCCAAAAGTGTTTTTGGAATGAATCTTAATTTCTTTTGAATTCAAGTTTTCCAAGCAACTTCCCACTTCAAGGACTTTCCATATACTACTTCCTCTTTCTGGAATACTCTTTCCTCTCTTCTTCTAGCTAGTTTCTAATCAAACTTCAGGTCTTAACTTTTAATTCTATGAGAGACTTTTTTTTTTTTATAGGCTCCATGCCCAGTGTGGAGCCCAACCGCAGGGCTCCAGCTCAAGATCCTGAGATCAAGACCTAAGCTGAGATCAAGAGCAGGACGCTTAACTGACTCAGAGACCCAGGCGTCCCAAAAGATTTTTTTTTTTTGCATCCCTCTAGAGAGGTTAAATCCCAACTATAAGCTCACAAAATACACTGTATTTTCAATTCAAAATCTCCCCCCTGCTAAATTTTTTTTAAAAGATTTTATTTATTTATTTATTTGACAGAGAGACAGAGAACACAAGTAGGCAGAGGAAGAGGGAGAAGCAGGCTCTCCTCTGAGCAGGGAGCCCCACGCGGGGCTCAAACCCAGGACTCTAGGATCATGATCCGAGCCGAAAGCTGACGCCCAACCAACTGAGCCACCCAGGCGCCCCCCCCCCGCCCCCCGCTAAATTTCTTTATGAAGGCAAAGGTGGTCTGTTTATCGTTGCATCCACTGTGCCTAGACAGTGTAGGCTAAATGTTGGCTGTAAGGTATTACCGATAGCTATTATGGACACTCAAATTATCTGAATAACTCTTCACAGTTGTTTCTACTGGTGCTGTGACATATACTAAAATGTACTGAGAACACCAAAGTCAGTAGTACAGGAGGCACCGCTTGGTGGTGTCTTACTATTGACCAACCATAAACATTGCTTTTCCTCACTATACAGTAACAGGCCTTTCCCCCCTTTTCCGTGCTTACACTGCAGCCAGTGACAGAGACAGGACCAAACTGGGCATGCTGATGTTGAAGGTTAGGGATGGCTTGTCCCTGAGAAGTGTGCGCCGGCCAGGAACGTGCACCAGTTTGACAAGAAATGAATCTGACACCAGGTACTCAGGGAAGCACCCGGCGGGGGCATCACTTCCCAAGCTCATTTCGAGCACTCAGGTCTCACGGGTCTCTGCTCTGTCTCCCTGGGTGTTGATTTTTGGCAAGTGATTCCGCCCGGATTCAGTTTCCTCGGTGCCATACTTCGGTGTACCTTCCGGTTATCTGGTTATCTGACTAAACTTTTCACCTCATCGGACCTTTCACTCAGTAGAGGGTTGCAGCGCAGGGCTGCCTTTGGCGTCTCGTCTACCTCTCAACGACGCGAAAAAGGTCCCTCAAACACTCGGTGTGGGGATGGAACGGGGGCAGAACTTGCACGACGTAGAAACAAACACTTCGGTACCCCAGGAGACCAGTGCGGAAGCTCTGGTGCCACCCTCCCTCCTCGCACCAGCACAAACCCTCCACCGCCCTTCGCAGGTGGTCACTGTGCTCCTCAGCGGCAACGTTCACAAGCTCCGTGGAGGGTCCTGAACCCACACCTACTGAGATTCCAGACAACCTGCGCAGGACCGCCCGTTTTCCCTCCCCGTCGGCAACGAACCCAAACCTTCCCTGGGCCCTGTCACCTTGGCCGCCTGACCCATGGCTCTCCTCACCGCGGCGGCCGCTTCTCCGGCGATCGAGCCTCCCCGCCTCTCGGCAACCAATCACTGCCCGGCGTGGACTATCCAACTCCCCGAAGTCACGTTCCTAACGTGCCGCAACCAATCACCGCGCAGATTCCCCCTTGTAGCCCCGCCTTCCACAAAGACACCGGAGACGAGTTTGCTAAACGGCTGCAGTCTGGTAAGAGCGCGAGAAGCTGCCGAGCCCAAGTACTGGAGAGAGGAGAACGGAAATTACCTGGACGCCATGTTAGTTAGGGGCAGAGTCACTTCCGGTCTCTTCCGAGGCAGTCAGGTGTCGGGGGTGGGTTATTTATTGGAGGTCTTCAACGTCTCTGTTATTACCTCTTGTTTGGAGGTTGCGGTTATCTAATAAAGAACCTTTATGTTAATGTTTCCCAGTTGCGACAGTCTACTTGTGAAAGTGCGTAAGAGCCAAGCCCTAACAAGTATAGCTGCCGTTAATTGGAATTCTGGCTTCCCAAAGCGCTATTTGTACATTTTCTCAATTCCCGGAAAAGGTGAGGTAGAGTTACTTGCTCAAGACCACAGGCTAGAGGGGTGCCTGGTGACTCAGTCGGTTAAGCTGACAATTCTTGATTTCAGCTTAGGTCATGATCTCTGGGTAGTGAGATCGACCCCCCCCCCCTTGGGCTCCACCCTCAGCTGGGAGTAGCTTCTTTTCTCCCTTTCCCTTTGCCCCTCCCCCTGCTCAGGTGGTCCCGTGCACACACTCTCTCTCTGAAATAAATAGTTTCTTAAACAAAACAAAACAAAAACCATAGGGCTAGTAAATGGAGGTCCGGGACACAAATCCCTATGCCTGACTAGTCTTACCCTCCACACATCCTCACCTTACCCTACTCTTTGGTTTTGCTGGTCAAACGGTCAGAAATGTTATTTAAGCACATTTTAACTTAGGACCTTGCAAACTTCAAGAAAAATCTCAACCTTTCCTTCATCGCATAATCGTTGTTTGCCTTCCCTACGTCACAGCCTTTCAGGTAAAACTACTTTTTAGTAGGAATGAACGATTTGAAGCAAAAGATCTTAAAGACCTTTTTCCTTCTCTGTGATTTATGTCATTTTAAAGAATATTTCAAGTCATCAAGATAGCAACATAACAGTTAACTTTTTAAATTATAATCCATTAGATCTGCAGATGAGTGTTTAACATAACCAAGCAATTAAACCAAATATACTCAAGTACTGTCTTTTATATAGGAAACAATAGATCTTGTGACATTGCACGATGGTGCCTTCAAATTTTTAAAGAATGACTGAAACATGCTTATTTTCATTTCCAGTTTTAGAATCACGGCCCAATTTCCTGAAAATTCATAATTTATTGTTACAATTTCTGGCTAACTAGGGTCCTGTATTCACTTAACCAAAACCCCGTATCTGCCAATACTTGAAAATAAAATTCTCATAGGGTCAAACTCAGTTCATTACTGAAGCCTCTCTTAGATAACTCTGTATCGTTCCTTCAGCTGTTCCATAAATGAGGTAACTATTTTTGTTATTCTAGGAATATGTCCTGGTTTGTTAACATCTCAAAGTGTGAGACCAGAACTAAACAAGAATTCTAGTTTGTTCCTCACATAAGTTCATGGAGCTCTAAGTAGGCAGAATAAAGGCCTCCAAAAGATGTCCCTGTTTAAATCCTAGGAACTTTTGAATATGTTACCTTATATGACAAAAGGGACTTTGCAGATGTGATTAAATTAAGGCTTTTGAGATGGGAAAATTTTCCTGGATTGTGTGGTGGGCCCACTGTAATCACAGGATCCTTATAAGTGGACGAAGGAAGCGGAGTCAGGGAGAGGTTTGAAGATGCCCTGAAGACAGAGGTAGGGGCTTCAAGTCAAGAAATGCAGGTAGCTTCTAGAAGGTAAAATAAGGTAAATGTTCTCCCCTAGAGCCTCTAGAAGGAATGCAGCCCTGTTAACACAGTGATTTTAACCCAGTGAAACTCAGACTTCTGACTTCCAGAATGTTACCTCTTTGTGACCCCTTCCATCTTGAAAGCCAACAGGAGGGCATCTTCAATCTTTGACTGTCACCTCTCCTTCCATCATATCTCCTCCCTCTCCTGTGTCCCTCTTTCACTTATGAAAGCCCCCGTGATTATATTGGGCCTACCTGGACAATCCAGGAATCTCACCCACCACAAGATCCTTACTTTAATGACATCTGGAAATCCCCTTTACCATGTAAAGAAACATATTTATAGGCTCCAGAGATTAGGACATGGGCATCTTCTGCCTACCATACCCAGTTTAGTTGAAGCTGGACAATAAGGTTGAAATTGAAGGAAATGAAGCAGGAGAAGCAGCCATGGGCCTGATCAGGTAAGAACCCTATAATCCAAGGTAGGATTTTGGATTAATTTTGTGATAAAATGCCTTACCAGCAGGAGAGTGAGATCATGATTTATATTTTATAAAAATCACTTCGTGTGCTGAATGGCAAATTGACTACAATGGAAGCAGAACCTAGCTAGGAGGCTCTCAAAGTACTCCAGGCAAAATATGACAGTGGCTTGGATTAGGGTGGTGTAGTAGAAGAGGTGAAAAGTGAATGGATTCATGATATGTATTGCCAAGTATAAGAGAGAAGAGTTAAGGATGATTTCATGGCCTTTGACTTGAGCAGTTTGGTGAATGGTATTATGGTGGATGTAGAATTCTGCAGGAGGAGGTTTTTTTGTTTGTTTGTTGTGCAAAGAGTAAAAATAAATCTGAACTGCCTCACAGACATCCATATGGAGGTGGTGAGTAGGCGGTATTACATTCCATTGGCCAATCTGGAATTAGGGGAAAGGTAGATCAGAGAGACATACTGGAGAATCATTGCTCTGCAGATGATAAAGCCTTAGTGAAAGATGACCACACTTATTATCCAAACCAGTATATATCTCTTCTTTTTAACTTTCTATTTTGACAATTTCAGTCTTACAGGAAAGTTGCAAGAATAACAGAATTTGCATATACCCCTCACTCGGATTCCTCAAATGTTAACATTTGACCACAATCACTTTATCCTTTTCTATCTCTCTATATATGAACATTTTTTTTTTGGTATTTCTTTACTGTTTGAAAGTGAGCTGCAGACATGATACTCCTATACTCCTAAATACTTCAGTGTTTTTTATTCCTACAAAAAAAAAAAAAAAAAAAGACAGTTTCTTACATCAGTGGGCCTCAAAGTATGATTCCAGGGCAAGCAGCAAATGCATCACTTGGAAACATGTTAGAAACCTAAATTATGGGCGCCTGGGTGGCTCAGATGGTTAAGCGTCTGCCTTCGGCTCAGGTCATGATCCCAGGGTCCTGGGATCGAGTCCCGCATCGGGCTTCCCGCTCCTTGGGAGCCTGCTTCTCCCTCTGTTTCTCTCTGTCTCTCATGAATAAATAAATAAAATCTTAAAAAAAAAAAAAAAGAAACCTAAATTATAAGACCCCACCCCAGATCAACTAATTTTGATAATTTTGCTATGGTTATGTAAGGAAATTAACACAACTTTCAAAGCTACTATCTAATTTATAGGCATTATTTAGATTTTGCCAATTGTCCTAGTAATGTCTTTGATAGCAACAGTAGCAAACGAGTCACTTTTGAGATTCAAGGGATCCACTATCAATAATTTTTATTGGCAGGGGACAAGATAAGACAAACTGGTAAATATTATCATATAGAGTAGTCCTGGAGCTATAATTAATTTTTCTTAATAAGGGCATGTGGAAATTAAATGTTAGCTAGAGAATATAGCCAAGAATGGAACCCATTGAGAAGTCTGGAACTGGAGGCTTACTGTGAAGGAGAAATAGCATCCAGAGGGGTATAGGAGACAAGACTAGGAGAGTGAAGACTATTCCTGAAAAGAGGAAATGATCAACATTAGGAAATAATGCCAAGAGGTCTAGTATGATAAGAAATAGAAATGTTCATAGAATTTGTAAGTGGAGGTCCTTAACAACATTGGCAAGAGGGAAATGGGTTAAAAACAGATGAGAAAGTGGACACAGAATAAAGAAAAGTTTTAAGAAGCAGCAAAGATATGAAAGGGTATGTCAAGTTAAGGAAGGTGTTCTTCCTTTAAGGTGGGGCATGTTACGTTACGCTGATTACTTCTGGGAAGAAGTCTTAGTTGCACAGTGGAGGGAGGATTACAAAGTCCTGATGCCTGGATCCCAACCTCGGAGTCTGATTTAATTGATCTAGATTTTGGCCAGGTTCAAGAGGATTTTTCAAAAGTTCCCCAAGTGATTTTAACGTGCAGTGAGAACCACTGCTAGAGGGAGAAAAACACTGGTGCAAGGAGGGCTTACTTACTGGAACCAAGACCTTCTGCAGCTGAGAAATTAAGTGTTAGGGTGTCTCAGAAATTAAGTGTTAGCTGAGAAATGCAAACACGACCAGCATTGCTTGGATTATCCAAATCTTTTCAGTTACAGTACCTAATTTTTCCTACAAGTGTCCATAAAGCAAGTGAAGAAGGGCGTATACAGTAACTCCATTCCCCAAGACACACTAAAGATAGAAAGAAGGGGAAAAAAAAAAAGACCTCGGTGTGGCTCCCTAGAGGCTCGAATCAGGAACCTCCCTTCCGCCGGGTCTCGTCGGGCAGTTCTTGGAAGCTCCCGTGCGCTCTCTGCACCCGCAGTGCAGGTCGCCAGTGCGCACGCGCAGGACCAGCCCGGACGCCCGAGCAGCGGTCCCCGCGCAGGCTTGGCCGTGCACCCCCGCCCTCTGCTCCGGCTCCTCCCTCCTCTCGAGCTTCTCCCCGGGGCGGCCGCGCGGGAGGGAGGCCGAGATGGCAGATGAGATCGCCAAAGCTCAGGCCGCGCGGCCTGGTGGCGACACGATCTTCGGGAAGATCATTCGCAAGGAAATCCCAGCCAAAATCATTTTTGAGGATGACCAGGTAGCCACCGGCCGTCGCCTCCCTGGGGGGCTGAGGCGGGGCAGTCTCCCGTGAACACGCGGGTTTCCCGCGGACGGAGGGGAAAGGGTCGGGCAGCATCGCGAAGGGAAGGGACTCGGCCGCCCCGCGGGGCCTCTGC